TAGAAGAGTTATAAGATAGAATAGTATTTATAATACTTGGGCTTAAGTAAGAAGTTTTTTAGGTCTTACTAGGGATCTCTTAGGTCTCTCTATAATATTTATTATTAGGTAATTATTATTTAATATTTTATTCTCGGATTCTTATAAATAAGCAAATAGTAATTTCTTATTTAGTTAGTAATAACTCAGTATTTTATTCTTGAATTCTAGCAGATTTGCAAATAGTAAGCTTTTATATTATATAAAACCAGCCTATATTCTATAATAAAAGTTCTATAGAATCGGGTATAAATCTTTAATATCTAGTTAATAATTCTTATATATTTCGAGGTTAAATTAATAGTATTTAGAAGCTAAGTAATTCTATACTTAAAGTACTTATAGTATTTAAATATTCTTGGATATAATAAAAAGGTAATATATATAAAGAGTTAGGCTATTATATAATTAGAGTTAAAGAGATTAGTATATCTAAGAAAAGAGGTTATAAAGAAGAAGGAGGTTATTAAGGAAAAGGTTATTAAGGAAAAGATTACTAAATAGTATTTAAAGAAGCTAGGAAAAGATATATATTAGTTATTAAATCTATAGTAAATAGAAGAAACTTAAGGGAATATAAATAAGCGAATAATAACCTATTAAATTAGAATTTGGAACTTATTAATACTTTTTCTACTAATATACTTATCTAGTTATATTACTTTTATATCTTATTTCTTTCTTTTTTTCTTTGTTTTTCTTTAGATAAGATATTCTTAGAGAATTAGATTTAGAAATAAAAGATTAAAATCCGGTAATAATTTACTAAGGGTTCGGAAGTAAAAGGCTATTAAAGAATTAGCTTATTTAGGAGTAATATCTAAAAAAAATTATTATTAATTATACTAAGAGTAAAAGGAGTTTAGATTTAGGAAATACCTCTAGTCTTAATCTCTAAGCGAGTTCTAAACTCTCGGTAATAAATTTATTATATATATTATAATATATATAATTAATTTAGTACTTAATTCATAGCCTTTTAGGGCCTTAAACTAATATAAAGAAAGTTATTAATAATATAATATTAGTTTTATTAAAATATATATATTATATATATTATACTTTTTTGGCTTTTAATATATATACTCTTATTATAAAATCGCAATTAATCTATTATATAACTAATATATAATATATAGCTATAACCTTTTAAAAACCTAGTAATATATAATTATTTTAGTATCTAACTTATAGCTATTTACTTATTATTTAATATTAAGTTATTAATTATATGATTTTAGTAAGGGAACTTCTTATTAATATATATTTTTTAAAACCGCTTTACTTATATACCTGCTTTTTAGGTATTTAATTCTCTTATATTTTTCTTAAGATTAAAATTCGCCTATTTCTTAATAGAAAACTTCTTTTTTATAATTAATATTATAAATTATTACTAGTTTAATATATATAAATATAGTATTTTAATATAAGTATATACTTTTATTAGATAGACTAAAAGTATTCTATTAGCTTATATTATTTTATCTAGCTTAGCCTAGAGATATAAAGAAATAAAAGTATCTAAAGTCTATTATTAGAAGAATAGTTATCTTAAAAATAGAATATATATAATATATAAAAATAATAGATTCCTAATTACTTTTAATAAGAATTAAATATTATTCTTATATATATTAGACTATTACTAATTTTTATAATACTAGATATAGATTATAACTAGCTTTTTCTATATTAATAAATAATATTATTAAGTATTATTATATTATATTATTAATAGTAATTTAAATACTTATAATAATAGGCTATTAGGAATATAAAATAATACTAATATTTATTCTAGGAATTCCTAAATATATGTTTTATAAATAGTTATAGCCTTTAGATATAAAACTATATTTTTATTCTTATTATTAGTTAAGAATATAGCCCGAAGCTTAGTATTATTCTAGATTTACTAAATAATAATAAGCTTAATACTTTCTAGAAATTTAGTATTATTAGAATAAGAGAGCTATAAGCTACTAAAATCTTCTAGATCTAGGTTATTTTTTAGCCTTTATAATTCTATTAGAATAAGGTTCTTAGCTTGAAATAGGAGCTTATTATAAAATAGAATATAGGCTTATTAATATTCGGAAATTACTAAATTAAAAATCTATAATATCTATAATTTTATTTTATAATATTTTACTATTTGCCTATCTAAGAACTATTAAGCTTAGTATTTTATAATAGTAGCTTTTCTAATTTTAAATAAATATAGTCTCTATTATAGAATATACCTAAATAGGATCTTAGCTAGCTATTAGAAGAACTTTTTATAGATCTTAATAAGAAAAACAGGAATTTAATCTTTATTTTTTTATTTAATATAATATAAAAACTTAAGATAAGGAACTTAAATAATATATTACTAATAGTATAATAAATTAGAGTTAAGTAAAGTCGCCGAATAATATACTTAAGAGCTAGCTTAGCCTTTTCTATATTTTTAATAGCTAAGGCTTTTATAATCTTATTTATAGCTTGGATTTATAAAGTAGTTAGCTAGATAATATTCCCGGATAATATTTACTCTAGCTTAGCCCAGATAAAATAGCCGCCTTTATAATATATTATATAATAATAATATACTAATAACTATTTTATAGTAATAAAATAAGTAACTAGAATTAATATATTCTTAAAATACCGGAACTTATTTACTTTACCTAAAGCCCTAATATAGAATTTGTTTAGGATATTAGCCTATTACTATATTATTTTCCGGTCTAGTAAGATATTACTATATAACTAGTATATATTTCTTAAAATAGCCTTGGTTATAACTAAAATTCGAATAAGATTAGAATTCTTAGTATTCTTATTATTTATATTAAGCTCTTTCTTTAGTAATAGCTTATATAAGCTTTAGATCTTCTTATTTTTTAGTATAGTTAGATAATATAGAAAACCTATTATATTATATAGCTATAATACTTTTTCTAATCTTAAGTTTCTAATATCCTAAACTATAATTACTTGTTTCTTAAGATTATATTTTATATTCTTATAATTCTTCTCTAATTACTTAAATAGTTTCTTTTCTGGCTTAGTTAATAATATAGAGCCTCTAGCTATTTCTTTGCCTTTTTCCTTATTTATTATTATAAAATAATTAATCTGGCTCTTTATAATAAAGTATATCTATAGCTTATACTCTTTCTATAACTAATTACTCTTATAAGACCTTGCTTTAGTCTTATAGTAAGTAGCCTAGTACTTCTTTATTTTAGGGAAATAGCAGATACTATAGCTATACTATAGCTATAGATAATAGATACTATTATAGCTAACTAGGTATTTAATTATCTAGTACTTATTTTTAGGCCAGGGCTTATACTTTCTAAGCTTAGCTATACTTCTTAGGTTATAGCTACTAAGGAGCTATATAATTACCTTGAGCTCGTCTTTTAAAAGTTAGTATAGCTATACTTATAGATACCGCTCTTAACTATATATCCCTGAAATAATATAGGACTTATAAATATAGTAAATAGTAATTCTATAAATCGGATTATACGAGAATATAATAAGTATATATTTTAAGATAAGGAAATACTTATTTAAAGAAGAATAAGGAGTAATAGGAAAGATACTTTTTTACTAAAATTCCTTTTACTAGAAAGTATATTAGTTAGTAGTATATATACTAATTAGTATATTAGTATTTTTACCTTTTACTAAAAAAGGGGCCTTATATAAGAGATAGGCCTAATATAAAAAAATAGACCTGTATATTATTTAGGTCTCTAAATTATACAAGTAGCCATATTTATAGTCTGTATAAGAATTAGTATATGGGTTATATACTAGTAAAAATTTATTTGAAATATTTATTAGAGTTTTATAAGAATATTATTTTCTTTATATTACTTATTATAAAATATATAAAACAAAAACTTATATAAAGTATACTAGAATATAAATAATATATAATATATAAAAGCTTAATTAATTAAATATTTTTAAAGAATTATTTTCTAAAACTATAAACAAACCAGCTTTTTTATATAATTTCTATAAGTTATATATAAAAGGCTATAGCTTTTATTATATAACCTAAATCTTAAAACTACTAAAATAATATAATTTTTAAAAAATATAGCCTGTTATATTATAATATTTTATTTAATTTATATTATATTATAAATATATAATTCTAGCTTTATTTAGCTAGTTTAATAAATCGAGAATATTTAATTAGATATATAACCCGTTATCTAATTCTTTATTATAATATATTATTTAAATTTTAGAAATCGACTTTTTAATATATTTTTATTATAATTTTACTAAAATTTATTTCTATTTTAATACTATATAACTTTATAATATTTTAACTAAATTTTAAAGAAATAGAATTTAAAGCCTTTATTATTTTTCTATTAATTTCCTTTACTAATTTTTTTAATAAAAGCCTAATATAAAAAAACAAACTTATATATTATTCGGATTTCTAAATTATACTAGTAGTTATATTTATAGCTTATATGAGAATTAGTATATAAGTTATATACTAATAAAAATTTTTTTTTAATATTTATTAAGAATTATATAGATTATTTTTTTAATAGAATTCTTATTAATTCTAGTAAATACTTTAATTAGAATAATTTTATATATTTAAATAAAGCTTATATTACTAGATTTATTTCTCTTATAATATTATATATTATTTTAAATATAAATAAAATAAATTCCTTAAAATTTAAGTTATTAAAAATTAAGATTATTACTATTAGGGGTTTTTTTTAAAAGACTTAATAAAGAAGTAATATATAATATACTAAGCTATTATATTAATATTTTAGTATTATAATAATAATAATATTACCTGATAAATATAGTATTTATAGGATATAATCTTGGTCTTTATTAGAGTTCTATAAAGAATTTGATTTAAATAAGCCTATTAAAATATTAAATAGAAGATTAGAGAGGAAATTTAACTTTCTCTAGATTATAAATTCATAGTTAAAATCTCTATAAGGCCTACTTATCTCAATTTTGAGAAGTCTATATCTATTTATTAAAGATTTCTGATTCAAATAACCTGTACTTGCTTTAACGGACTTAGTAATAATATAGTATACCTAAGCAGAAGTATTTATTCTGGTGCCTTGGCCAGGTTTCCACCCTCCAAAAAGCCCCTCAATAACTTTACTAGCAGGTTCTTGGTCCATACCACTTTCTTCTTCTGAATCCTCGAGCTCAAGATGCATGCTTGTATCCTCCTGCTTTTCCGACTGGCTATCAACAGCGTCCAACTTTCTCTGTTCCAGATTATCTTTGTTCTCTCCTTCCGCTCCTGCATCATCACGACCAGCCCCTTCCACACGGGAGCTTTCACCAGGCACAGCATTAGATGCCTCTCCAAGTTTTGTAGAGCGCAGAGGTCGATCCTCCCTCTTACTGCTCATCCTTCCTCCTACAACACCTCCATACGCAGCTGGATCCACAGTTCTGTATCCGCTCTCGTGTCTTTCTTCTCTCACCCTCTTACTTTTCAATCGTCTTGGTGGACTATGCTCCTCAATAACAACCACCTCATCGCTGCCCCAGGTCTCCCTCGGCGGCGGGGGCGGCGGGGGCGGCGGGGGTCTTGTCTCTCCCCTTTTATCGGCAATCACCATCTCCACAGCCCGCTCCCTCGCAATCCTAATCTGACTCCTCTCTCTCCTCTCCACAGGCCCGGCTCTCCACCTCCGAGTTCGTCCATTCCCATGGGTGCTTTTCCTCCCCTCTCTCACTCGCCTTCCCAAGGGCGGCGAAAGCTCTGCGGAACTATCTGAATCATCATAAAAATCGAGATCCTGTGGCTCCGTAGGAAGCGGTTGGCTGCCATCCAAAGGTGTGTTTAGCACAATGATCAATAAAGCTCTCTCGACCTCTTGAGAATCGTCTCCCGTCTCCTTATGATCCAATATGCCTAAACTGAGTACCTTCAAGGCAATCCGAAGCCACTTCATCGAACTCGAACCTCCAGAGTGGTCGAGCACTTGCAGGGAAGAAAGAGTACGAGAATATCCAGGTCGGCGCTTCCGAAGGGCAAGCTTCACAGCTGTATGTTCTTCGGGCATCAATGAGGTGAATACTTTCCAAAAGTCACGCTTCTTTTGTTTCGAATTCTTCTCGCTTGCCGTAGCCTGTGATAGCGGAATGCCACTCGTTGTACCGGAATCAGGGTCATGTATGTAAGTGTCAAAGAATGGGACAGCTTTTTTTGAGTCAGAGGCGAGAGATGAAGTGTTGTGTAAAATAGTCAAACATGGTTCTTGTTCTTCTGGCTGGTTTGTAGGCGTTGAAGTGCTGTCGTCTGTATCTGAGGACTTCGATTCGTTATTCTGTGGAAGCGTTGTAGTAGCCTGTTCAACCTCTTTAGAGACGAAAGCGGATATCATGTTATCTTTCGTGGCTGAAGGCTGCAGTTCTGGCTCGATACCTTTAGCTTTTGAATCGGATTTGTTATCGAGTGAACCTTGAATGCGATAAAATCAGTCACCATATTTTCTATCTTGTGAAGGATTTGGGTACAAGGATTGTTCTAGAGGAATAGTTACTTACCAGCATTTATGGGCTCCTTAGGTAAGGGATTTTTCGAAGGCTGCTTTCCTCGAAGAAGTTCTTCATAGATCTGATCCCACTTGCGATTGGCTTGTTTCAGTTGCACTTGGAGTTCGTGAATGTCGTTCTCGTCTATCACTTGTTCGGTATAGACCGTATTATTATCGGACCTGATGATTACGGATGTCAATCAGTATTGTGCTCTCGTTCGTAAGGTTGTGATCCATTCTGATTGATTCAACGAGCCATCATTTTCAAGAAGGAAGTCTGATGTACTCACAGTTCCGAATACTTCATTTCAAACGTGGTGACCGAAAATATAAGGTTCAGAGAAACCTTGAAGCTCAGCAGGCGAGACGTATAGACGGTAATTTCTTTATCCACTAAAGCCCATCGGATGCTTTGCATTTTAGACACAACAGCCTCTCGATCAAGTTGCGGGACCTGAATGCTCTGCTTCTTTGTTGCCCTGCTGACCTTCAGCTTTCCTCCCGTCTCAATAAAGGAAATAATATCCTGGAAGACAACAAAACATTCATTAGCTGCATCCTGTGTTGCTGACAGCACTGCATCGTCGAAGAGCCTCCGTCCTTTATCTGAATGTTTGGCTTCTTCATCCTTGAGAAGCAGCTTTTGTATTCTCGTGAGAGTGACATTCGTTAGGTTGATGTCCGTTTTGAGAGTGATGATGCACTGATGCGCTCCCGTGGCTTTTGAGATAAAGTCATCCAGAGTTTGGTAAACCTGTAGCCCAAAGCCCGCAATACCCAAAACAGCAGACGCTGCTCCTAAAGCTTCCATGGGGTTTGCATAATTGTTGGAGGCAAGCTGTTTAACTAATGTTGGCGTGATCACGAATGCTTTATGTCACGATTGAATGACGGCTGGAGCTGCAGGTGACAGCGCATCACTGATCAGCCTCAATATTACCAATTGGTACTAATATTTCCGAAGCCGATTCCAATTGGGGGAGCTCTGCTAGGATGTGACGGATAGGGAAAATATTGGCGGGTCGTATACTAGTACGGCCGATGTGTGGCTGCAGCTGAAGTTCAGCTCCGAGTCCCCACTTCTGGAAAGTCGCATCTATCAAGAATTTGTTGCAATCCTTGAAACTCCATTCTCAATCATCTATGAAGTAAACGAGATGGCACAAGTAAGAAGATATCGCTTGAACATCACATTTTCTGCGCCGGTCAAATGGATAGGCACGAGACTATGGGGTCAGTATGAGATTTTCATCGGAAGCTGAAATGTGAGACTGATCACTAAAATCTAGATTTACAAACGCCTCGTAACCGCTGCTACATCATGATTACGCTCCTTCTAGCAGCCATTATACAGCTGTGTAAGTGAATATCTTTGCGATTCAGCTGTTCGAGACACTCGTAGCGATATCTTACTGAAACAAAACAGCGGTAATCCTAGCGGGTTGTTCATCTCCCTCACTCAAAGATATATACCTTCTATCATTAATATACACCAAGACTTCTTCTCCTAATCCCGTGGTTGCTAATGCCAGCGAAACTACTTTGGTGGAAGTCCGCGCTAGCTACTTCAATCTCTGTATTAGAGAAGTATCGGATGAATGGCTATGTAGTAGTAGTGTTTCCGCTCTGGCCCGACAGCTGAGCAGTATTGATGACCCTGAGGATCTCTTCGGGCTTGGTGCGAAATTTATGAAGAGAGATATCTCCTGTGGGCCGATGTAAGCAAACTTGCTCTTCTGATATCTCGGTACTCATCGGAATACAGGATGGCTGTTATATTTCTCAACGCCATTGTGGCAGCCTTTCTTGGTCTTCTAGCTTGCCTTAGCAATTCAAAGACCGCCGATGATGAAGATGATAACTCCTCCATCTTAGCGCTTGGGCGAAACTCCCTTCTTTTAATCTTCGCCCTCGCAGCAGCGTCTTCCCTACTCCTCACTCTAGCTGCTATGGTGTGGCAGCAAGTAGCAACAGGATCAGTAGTGAGTGTGCTCCAGAATGCTCCCTATAAAAATGTGCTGTTCAGGACCGGGAAAGTTGTTATGATATTAGGATGGTGTGCTGTTGCTTGGATCGTAATCGTGGTATTAGGAATAATAGTGAGGAGTTTTGCTGTTCTGCCATTATCTAGACTCGTGGACAAAAGCTCAGAGTCTGGCTCAGAGTCTGGCTCAGGAAGCCTGATCGATGATTGATTGAGGCGCTTACCATTTATGAAAGCCAAGATGACAGGGAAGAGGGCGATTGGCCTAGCTTTGTTAGCATTATATGTTCCTTAGCTCGGCACGCAACTTGGGTAAATTTTTAAATGGGTCCTCCTGATTCTATATTTAAATGAATTCTTACATAGGGTACCGATTTACAGCTTTGTTCCCTTCCTCTGCCTTGCTCTACTTCCTTCCCACTTGCACTCGGGAAACGGCTTTCCCATCAGCTCAGCTTGAATCTGGAGCGCAATAAACCTTGAGTTCCAACGCGCTTGGGGCACATGATATTTGGGTCCAGCCATATCCTAGGCCCGTGTCCTGAGTGTGGTAGGTCTGCCTTATCCCGTTTCTTGTAGCTCGTCTGACGCATATTTGAAGGCTAGATAATCAAACGTAGGATGCAAGAGCAAGCTGCCGGGGTTTCTCGCGGATCAAATGTTTGGACGGTTAAGTGGAAGGATTGATAACGTTAATACTGCTCTTGCTACCTCTCCTTACTATGTTGGCTTGTCGCATTTGCCATGAGATATAACATGAAGATCCACAAGTCTCTCTCTTAAAACCCTCTCTACATCCGCTGCTGTCTCGTATTTCTCGTCCCAGTATGTGTGAATAACGTCGCCCAATAGTAACTGGTCCGTCTTGGGGAACTGTTCGTTATTATATCTTTCCAGAACCTCTTCTTCCGTCAAGTCTGGGAACGGGGCCTTCCACGCCATAATCTCGTAAATGCCGCAACCCAAAGCAAATATCTCCCTTTTCGTATCATCCATATCTTCCCACTCTCTCCCGCGAAGGGGTAGTTGATATCGCGTCTCTTCTCCAATAAGCGGTAACCCTAAGCACCACTTGGGTGTAAGTTTATTCTGTCTATGCACCTTAAAGATCTATATGGAGAAGTTTTAGATAGTGAGGAAACACTTACTGATTGTCTTTTACCGAACAGTGATGCCAACTGCAAAGGCACCGGCTTTAGCTTCAACGCCAGCTCTGGAAGCAAGCAATTCCCTAACTGGATCGATAACAAGTCCAGCAGCCGGAAGTGTGTTGTTGACAACTGAGGGATCTCTGGATCAAATTCGGCATTTGGAAATTACGTGGCATTACTGCACGTGGCTTAGCCGGTAGCCGGTGCTTCTCGTCAGACAGCCTTTAGATCAATGCAAGCTCTTTACCACTACTGCAAGTCTCATCTTATGGTGACAATTACTAGATTTTGTTTGCAATTTATGCTTGCAATTCCCTACATTGCTTCAGGAAATCCCCCGCCTGCTGGGCCGCAACAGCAGCTTCTTTTTCAAACCCGACGATCTTCCCGACCAAAACTTTATGAAAACGGTTAGCAATAATTCTGTAATCAAGGAACTTGCAAGAAAGAGGAAAGTAAAGTTCACATACTAATATCATGAACTGCCTGCGCCGCAATCTGCAACTCAGTCCTGTTTCCTTTGACAGCAGTAAATTCCTCGTAAACTTTTGCATCGTCATGACACAGGGCTTCACATTCCCCCGTGTGGAAGAACAAGGGAGTTGGTGTTGCAAATGCGGTACCGATGAAGCAGATGTTGGGATCGTTGAGCTTGATGCCTGTTGATGGAGATGGGGAGAGAGCGCGAGCACCCCAAGTGCCAAATTCACCAACGAGGTAGTCGGTTGGCGCGTTGGGCGACTTGTCCAGATGCCCTGCATCGAGAGATCCCGCCTAGAGGCCTGATTAGCAAGATTGGTTATTTGTAAATTTTGAAGGAAAGAAGACGGAGGGACAGACTGGATCAACCCAAGGCGACCATAGAAATGCGCAACCCGGGGAAGGTACCGCTGCATTTGGATTGTCTGCAATGTATCGCAGCAACGCAAGACAAAGATTGCCTCCTGCACTGTCTCCTGAGATAGTGATCTTCCTGGCGGGAACTTGCATCTCATCGGTCAAGTGTAAAAGCGAAGTAATGGCATCCTGTAACTGGGCTGGAAATCGACCGCCTGGATTTGAAGCAAGGCGGTACTATAGGCAGAAAACATACGCCGCTGAGGTCTGCTGCAGAAGAGTCTTTGCCGCGAAACCACAGTCGTCTTGACGTCCATCTCCAATTACATAAGCCCCTGGGAAATGCAGTTAGCTAATTGCTTGATGACTTGTCTGACATATAGCCATCTAGCTCTTCTGCAGCGAAGAAACTCACCACCATGAAAGTGGAGAATAACATCTGTTACCGTGCCTGGCGATAGCCGTTTGGGATACCAAGTCCCGCCAATGGTTACAGGGTTGATCTCTTTGTCCTTGGAAGCAATGCCAATGTAATGACTGTTTTTCGCAGGCTGCATCTTTACAAAGCGATCCCCTTCTTTACCAGGCTTCAGGCTTCCTGGGGTCTTCATCTCGACGTCTGACATATTCTTGAGAACTGCTTACAGGATGCGAACCCCGAGAGCTTGTCCTGTAGCAGAGTAAGCACTTCCCGTCGAAGGATACTTGATAAACCTAAAGTCGCGATCCCTTGCAGATAGACAAATATATACGGAGACTCCATTTCGAGCTTTGACGGGTGAAAGACGGCAGGAAATAGACCAGCCAAAGTGGGAGGCGTAAGGCATTGAACAAAATAGCTGTAAGTGTCCAAAACCCTTTGCCTGGGTGGATCTTGATCCAGGAGGCGGCAGCCATCGTGTTACAATCTTACTTTTTCGGAAATGGAAGGCGAAAAGTGGCCAGCGCGATTGTTTCCGACCCTCTCCTACAATACGAGGACAGGAACAGAGATCAGTACAAACAAAAACTATGTATCAATAGAAAATAGAGACATGAAAGTGAGGTTGACCGGCGACGTATGAAAAGGTTGATGCTTGCGATCGTCCCGAGCTACCATGCTTCGTACTTAACTTGTGGCTGGGGCTCCCCAGGTGGGGAGACCACAACCAGTCAAAGTTCTTGCGAGGTTTGAAATGCTGGTGCAAATGTACAAATAGAGTTAGTGGACCGAATTGGAAGATTGGACGAAACTCAGCACGGTGCACTCGCAAACGCTACCCCCCACCATTGCACTAAAATAGAGATCGGTTGAATACTGCCTCGGTAGCTAGGAGCAGGAACAAAAACGCTGCGAGACGCCCTTGGGACCCAGGCAGACAAATGAAGCAGATGCCGGGCCAGCAGGCTTCAATGCCTTTGGCTAAATCGAGTCGAAAAGACGTTTAGGGAAGATATCTTCATCCGAGAGCAGATCCAGGCAATCCCGCCAGCCGAGGAATAACTTGCCAACGCTTCAGGGCATAAATGAAAATGGGTTTCAAGAAAACAGATCAGAGATTCAGAGAAACGATATTAAGGGGCCTTCGAGACTTAGCTATGAGAGAGTGCAGACAACATTTTCAGAATGCGACTACAAGAGACGCCCCGGAAATTACGAAAGGCCAAAAAGAAAAATTGAAATTTCATAACTAAAACACCTCATATACCGATCATTCCTCCTCTGACCCTCATTCCCACTCAAAACGCCGTCTCCGTCACCTTAAGCTTTAACAACGACTCTGCATTCTTGAATGCAATCCGCTCAAGGTCATCCTTCCCTACCAACCCACTCCTCTCTAACTCTTCCATCCAGCTCAACCCCTTCTCGTTCGTTGCAAACGGATAGTCCACACTGTAGAGTATTCGCTCGATATTTGTATTCCTCAAAATGCAAGCCATCGGATCAATTGACCACACTCCACTCGTCGTGATCCAAATATTCTCATCCCAGATTTGCTTGAACTGCCGCTCAAACTTTCCCCATCTCACGGATAAATCGCACACTCGCTGGAGCATGAACGGAAGCATTTCTCCAAAATGTCCCACGACGATTTTGACCCTCGGAAATTTATCAAAGACACCTGCTGCAAATAGGCGCAGGACATGCAGCGCCGTCTCCGAATGCCAGCCAAACCCGGACGCGCCGAGACTGGCAGCCGCGCCATCACTGAAGTTCCCCGAATATTGAGGTGCCATATCTTCCGAGGGCCAGGTTGGATGCAAATAGATGGGAACATCGAGATCCTGTGCGGCCTGAAAAACAGGATGATATTCCTTGCCATCGTAATATCTCCCATCGACATGGTTGTCAATCAAGGCTCCGACGAACCCTAACTCGCGAACGCATCGAATCAACTCATTCGCGGCAGCACCAGGCTCCTTCATGGGAAGGACAGCAAAGCCCGCGAATCGAGACTTGTTCTGGGTGACAGCCGTGGCCAATTGATCGTTCGCGGCTCGACATTGCGACGTGGACAACGTTCCGGGTACGTGTGAGATGACTTGGATTGAGATCCGCCCAGCGTCCATGTCTTGGAGCCGCAGGTCGCCGAGCCGGAGCCTGCTGGCCAGGCCGGGAAGATGCTTCAGCTGCTCTGAGAACTTGGCCTCGAAGCTGCTGTCTGTGGAGAAGAGGAAATGCTCCTCGAGGGAGATCAGTGGTGGAACCATGGCGCCAGATGGTGCTCTTCTCTGCCGTGTGTTAGGGCTTGGTCCTGCAGCGTGTCGCCGTGTTGGATGAGATCCGAGGGAGTGGCTGGCTACTCAGTCTGGCTACTCAGTGCTGCCCACTGTAATATCGCTTGCGGCCGTGGTGTTCCCCGCCAATTCGCCGCTCTTGAAACTGAGGCTTGGGAAGCTTCGGGCGTTTTTGTTGGCATTGCATAATTCTAAGCGCTAAACACGTGGCAAGCTCACCGCAAGTTTCACAGAGATCAAAGCAATACCAGATTTGTATTTTCCGCAGGCACGGTTCACGCTGTTCCCACTTATAGTCTGACGCCCGCCATGTCGTCTTCGTCGTCCGTTAGTTTGGGCCCGGTGGGAATGTCAGGATGGGATCTTCACAGAGCTCCCCCCTGGTTAACGGCATCAAGGCAGCCCTGGGCTGGGACGAGAAATTATTCGCCTTCCCCAGCAAATTCGCCTACCAGCTCGAAGATGTCCGGCCATACAACCTCACCATTCCAGTGAAGCCAGCTGCAGTCACTTATCCAAAAACTGCGGCTCAAGTTGCAGCAATTGTGAAGGTTGCTGTAGACGCTGGTTTGAAGGTGCAGCCGCGGTCTGGGGGCCATAGCTACGCGAACTACTGTAAGCACCTTCCCCAGATCTCCAAGATATATACTAATCATCCAGGCATTGGCGGGGTTGATGGGGCTGTGGTTATCGACCTGAGGCACTTCCAGCATTTTCAAATGGATCGGACCACTTGGAGAGCCAAAGTTGGAGGTGGGACCCTCCTCGGAGATCTCACGAAGCGGATGCATGACGCCGGAAACCGAGCAATGGCTCATGGGACATGCCCCCAAGTAGGAATTGGAGGACACGCCACCATTGGTGGTCTAGGACCAAGCTCTCGACTTTGGGGTACCGCTCTGGATCATGTCGAGGAGGTCGAGGTCGTTCTCGCCGACTCAAGAATCGTCCGAGCATCAGAGACGGAAAACCCTGATATCTTCTGGGCGGTCAAAGGTGCCGGTGCAAGCTTTGGCATCGTCACCGAGTTTGTCGTCCGAACTGAGCCTGAACCGGGAGAGTGTGTCAATTACTCATATTCATTCACCGTCGGCTCATATACGACCCTAGCCGCGACTTTCAAAACTTGGCAGAAATTCGTCTCGGACCCAGATCTGACGCGGAAGTTTGCAAGTGAGGTCATAATTTCGGAACTTGGAATGATCATTTCGGGGACGTTCTTTGGGAGCCAGGCCGAATTCAACAAGCTGGAAATGAACAAGAAATTTCCAGGATACAAAGACCACCACACCCTTGTATTCAAAGACTGGCTTGGACTTGCTGCACACTGGGGAGAAACAGTAGCACTTCGGCTTGCCGGTGGGCTTGCTGCACCTCTGGTTTCCAAATCATTGACCTTCAACGGCGCCGACCTGATACCAGACAAGGCCGTCGACAGACTGTTCGCTTACCTCGATCGAGTAGACAAAGGAACCTTGGTCTGGTTCATCATCTTCGACCTGGCCGGTGGAGCCGTGAATGACGTTGCGCAAGATGCAACATCTTATGCTCATCGGGATGCCTTGTTTTACTTGCAGTCGTATGCCGTTGGCATTGGTAAAGTCAAGTCCAAGACTAAGAACTTTCTTACCGGCGTCAACACCACAATCCGCAACGGGATGCCCGGTGGACAGGACTTCGGTGCGTACCCGGGATATGTGGATCCAACACTAGTAAATGGACCTCTGTCATACTGGAGGACGAACCTCCCAAGACTGCAGCAAATCAAAAGTCTGGTCGACCCCAGAGATGTCTTTCACAACCCGCAAAGTGTGCCGCTGGCTGGAACGCCAGCTCCCACGTCTGCGCCTAAGATGGCGATAGCCCGGGTGAGAGTGAGAAAAGTGCTTGCGAAGTTGTGTTTTTAACGAAGAATTTGCTGTACTTCATAGATTGGGTCTTGCCACACGGAACGATATAACGATTTAACGATGGTTTGAGAGATGAGGAAATAATATGATTGATGACAAGTTGAACGGATATGGACTAGATTGGTGGCAATGTAGACCACGCTTAATGACTTCAGGACGAAATGAAAACTTATCATGTCTACCGCTCTTCTTGAAAACTCGTGGACTCATATCTACAATGCATTCAGGGAGCCCATCGTTAAACTTCCGAGCTCTCTGCATTTCGCTTTTCATTTCTCTGGACAGAATGTGAGAAAGTCAGGAAATTAGGAAGTGTTCGGCGGCCGACGTTGTGATTGTTTATGACTTGGCTTGCTGTATGGGATATACTCAGTTTTATTCCCACACGCTGGTGATGTACTAATGATCTCAAGATTATTGCGTAGTTGGGCATGTTCCTGCCAACAATTATATCTTCTCAAGCGGAGGCTACTCTGCCAGCGCAAATCTTAATCTTCAATACTTCCCGTTCGGGTGTCGAACGGGCGTGAACAGAACAGGCTACCCAATTAAGCCCTTTGGTCCCGACAAATAGGGACCACCTCCGGATCGCTCGAGGGGGACCGGTTCTGGACATGAGATGATCTCTATCCACACGAGCCGGCCGACAGTCTAGAAATTGGGTAGTTGACCTAAGCTCGAATTTTCCTACAGCCACATTTGATACCTTTGATGTTACCACGAATTTCACCCATCGAACGGAGTGGTTGCCATCAAATGTGAACTTCCGCCACGTGAACGTATTTAAGCTTGTCTCAGAGGAATTCACCCAGAAATATAACATAGTTCATATCAGGTTCTTCTCTCCAGTTGTGAGCAAAACCGGCCCAGGTCCGGTACTTAAGACAGTGTTGCAAATGCTCAAAGAGTAATCCGGAAGAAACACACAGAACTACCCATTAACTATATCGCCAGAGCTAAGCGGTATTCTTTAGTGGGACGAGCGTGACCTTAGCTTTAACGTTGCTAAAGATGGAGTAGTTAGGATAGAGGCAATGCACACACTTAAGCATACAATGCATGCAATGTTTAAATTCCAAGAAGGTAGGGATGATATCGGGCATGAGATACTTTTCACTTGAACCGCTATAACAATGGCTAACGTTTGACAGCTAGGTTGGACAAGGACTTGAAGGCCTATGGGCTCGTGGACGTTAAAATGGAGCTGTACCTAATTCTCAAAGTAATGCATGGTTATCAAATGGGTTTAGGGTTTCAGTCAATAGAAGAGGCAACCCTTTGCTTGGGATGGACAGAATGTTGGGCAAGGGTGCTGGTGACGGTGTGAGGGCAAAGCGGCAGCAGCATACGAAGTGCATAGACTACGTGAAAGCTCCGTGAAAGATGATATGATTGTTTGTGTTGGAAGAAAGGTGGTGTAAGAGTTGGAGGAATGGAGGCTTCGTCTCCATGGCGGAAATACAGGTGGGTAGTATAGTAATCATTCATTTTCAATTCAGTACAATACAGAAAATTCGTAAACTACGATTCAAGCCATGCGACTGCGGTATGTGTCTTTCTCATCTGTGCAAGGAGTGCGGGGAGGGGAGGGGAGGGGAGGCGCTCGCTTCAAAAGTTCAGCCATTATTTGGCAGGATTGTGTCGCTTTTGTAGCGGGAATGGAGCACGGAAATGGGTATGAATATTTTTATACCGAGGAATGCGGTTTATGCAATCTTCGGAGCTTCTCTGCCAGACCTCAAGGCCAAAGGTGTTCTCCTAACCCCCTCCTTGGTTCGGCGGCAGCGAGTGACAAATACCATACACTGAGTTTGGCAATCTATGGTTCGTTAGCTTCAAGCCCGATAGAAATAATTTGGATGAGTGACTGACCTGATGAACTTCTTGTAATAAAAATATATATCCCCAAGGTTCGTTTGGGATCCAGCTCTCCTCCACCATCAATGCAACGTGCTCCTGGAGAGCATGCGAGATAGATGGACCTGCGTAAACGACGACCCGCCCAATGCCTTTCTTGGCGCACTTAATCTAGCCACTGTAGTAATAGGAGTTGGAGAGAGTGGTATCAAAGGCGTACGTCATTTCAGGTGCCGGAGTAGAAAAGGAGCAAAGCCGGTACCATTATGAAGACCAATGCGAACGGGGTGAGGATCCATACGTTGTCACGGCCCAGTATGCATGTGTCTTGGTCGATCCGTCTCCGAGTATTTATTCGCACCTTCGCATTGTCCCAAGCGCACAGGAGAATGAATGGATTGAGGGGTGTCGTAGTCTACCAAGGTCGAAGTCGTGCTTGGCATGTGTGGTCGAGAAAGCTGTAGAGGCAGGATTTCAATTGAATTGGCTGGGCATAAGTGAGGAAGAAGACGCACTCAATCCAAGATCCATCACTCCTAAAAGTATCGTGTTGTGGAGCTTCAAATGAGGGCTTGCGTTCTTTTCTCCCTTCTTCCTTTCAATGCTGCCGTTGTTTCTGCGAACATCTTGGCGGTGACCTCTCATCCACGACCTCTACTCGACTCGGTGGCGGATGCATGCTAGGTCTAAGTATACTGGTATTGTTGTGAAATTCCCCTTTCGTGGTGGTGCTATCGGACATCGCAATGTGTTCGCGAAGCCTGTACAGAATGCACACAACTCTTGTGCCACAGGCAATTCCCTCTACATCGCGATCGAGTGATCATCGAGTGCTTCGAAGCAGCACGCTTTGTGATTCGGTTCGGTTTCGAGATTGAGATGGATGATTTCGAACTTTTGCGGCTTTGTGTGCGACTGTGGATGGGGAAGTTCCCACGATCCTTTGTTTGGCGTGCGAAGGCGAAGGGTGGCGGTGACAACGACTCTGGAGTGTCGTATCGTTTGTCGATGGAGAACATGTACGGAGTGGCAGCGGGAGATGGTGTGCCAGAGGGGGTAGGTGTACAGGGAGTCATCCTCATGCCTGCCTTCCAGTTTGCCTCTTCGTACAGTTCGTCTTGGGATTTCCATCGCGGAGGAGAGAGCCTGTCCAGCCGACTGAACAACCGGTCGGCGTGGAACTGCATTGCAAGTGAGGCAAAATGAGGATTATCTTCGGCGATGAAAGAAGTAGTTCGTATGCGATTTCGATTATGATGTGTTGGAGGGTCCATCTCGCACGCTCGCAGCTGGTACCGTGAAGGTGAAGGGTGAAAGTGGTGAAGGAAGTGTGGCGATGGGCTCCGGTGAAAGAGAACAAGATCGTGGCAATGTATTTCGGATGGTTGGCTGGGCACGGCCCTCGGGAGAGTACGGTGGGCGACTGATGCATCAACGCAGTTCTGATATCCCCACACCTGCTTACATCCAGAGTGCCACGGATCTTGGTGTTCAGGCTGTGCAAACCCCCATGCAGGAGTTCTTCAGTGGAAGGCAGTCGTATCACGGGGGCAGCCAGAAGGACACCCTCTGCTTTGAGACATGGCGTCAAAATCGGCCACCGTAGCCATCAACACTGCCTCGTCTCTGCCTTGCCTTGCTCTGACAACATCTTCGACTTCTGTCTCATGGCAGTATATACAATATATACAGTATATATCAAAACAACTCCATTATGTCTATTTCGCAAAATGCTCAGTCCTTCAAGTCCATCGCGACTGAGCCCAATACACCCGAACCTCCCCCAGCACCCGAAGAGTCAGAAGAGGAGTCATCTGGTGATTTTGCTAGGCTGATCCCCTCCTCAATTTCATCCCGACTCGCCTTTCACAACCTTGTATCGTCCTTTCAAGATGAGGACAATTCGGAAACATACTCTTGGCACCAGAGATATATCCATGCTCGAAAGAGTCTTGAAACCCTGGAAGATGACGAGGAAGAGTCCACCGGTGGGGAAGGTGTCCAGATGGGGCCTCCGACTCACATTCAAAGCGGTTACTGGAGGCTGAATATGGAGCTACGTCCAGCGCGACCTCAGTTCGGTTGGTTCATTGGCAGGGGTAGGTGGCAAGCAAATTCCCGTGATCCTCACGGCGCTGTTGACATCCTCCTGACCCCAAATGCTACCGAACCGTCAGTTCGTGGTAGACATGCCCGCTTCATCCATAATCTCGACTCTAATAGACTGTTGATCCAGGCCGAGGGTACTATGAGATTTAACGGGGAAGTTCTCTACAAGGGCGAACGCCGAGAGTTGCCGAAAGAGTCATCCATCTTGACCTTTGGCATCTTTGAGTACAAGTTCTCCTGGGTGACGATTGCCCAAGATTTGTACCGACGACAGCTAGATGATCTCGCCGAGGAAGTGAATCACGATAATCGACCACCTCTGTTCATGACGCCTACTCCGCAGTCGTCGGAGTACTTGCTAGACAAGTACAGAATCAAGGGAACATTTGCCACTGGGTCTTCTTGCATAGTGTGTGCTGCTACAGACATGTCCGGAAATCCATACGCCGTGAAGAAGATCATTGCAAAAAATAGGAGGTCCAGACTAAATGTCGACGAAGAGGTCGGAAACCTACGAAAGCTGACTGAAAATTGTAATTCGCCAGTGAGTCTCGATTCCCTCTTTTAGTTCTCACGCTCATCGACGGAAAGGAAAGCATAAGCCGCCTGGTCGAGCTACTTACTATTGAGCCCAGTGGCCCTGCTGGAGTATACGAGTGTTATATCGTCACGAAGCCGCTCATCGCCACAACACTTTCAGGCATACTCAAGTCCGAGTTGGACAATCGTTCAAGGCTCACCCTGGTAGCCCAGATGTTACAGGGTCTCGACTTTATACATGCAAGTGGGTGTATGCACCGAGATATCAAGCTTGACAATGTTCTAGGATCAGTTCAGCCCTTGCAAGCTGTCATAATCGATTTCGGTCAGGCCACATGGGACAGAGCCTCATCCGACCATATGAAAGGAACAATTCGATACCTGGCTCCCGAGATTATGGCTTTAAAGCATATGACCGCCCCTGCTGATGCAACTTACAGCCAAAGTGCCGACGTTTGGAGTATGGGGTTGACAATTTTCGAATTTATATGCCGATTCAAGTTGAATCAGAACTTTATCACCTCTTCAGCACATCGAAATATCATGCGCCAAGACCACTGGAACAAGCAGCACGCATCGGACCAAGAAGTGCAGAATCTTTTTGACCTTCTTAAGCAGATGCTGGCTTGGGAACCTGCCGAGCGGATTTCAGCTAAAGAAGCACTCGACTGGACAAACAGACATGGCATCTTTGTACCTACTCCAACTTCGTCGGCTGGAACGAAAAACAAACTCGTATCTCCCATAATAGCACCAGAAGTTGACTTTGGCAAACGAAGAAGGAAAAGTGTTCGATGATGACTTTACTCTTGAGGCCATCTCCTGATCAACTGAGCTTTCTCTCCTCCAAGGAAATAGAAGCTGACAATACCAATTTACACATCCAAGCCACTGCTCGGATGAGATTTGTGTATTTTCTCCTTCCCAAGTTCCCAGGGCGGAACTGGGGTCTCAAAAGGAGAATCACGCACTTCAGGCTTCATTTATGACGGGGTATCAGGGGACGACTGTCTCGGACGCTCCGAGCTTTGCGGCATAAGTATACCCGTATACCCGTGCCGTGAGAGCGTCCGCAATTCGCTCCGCCGCCCGATCGTGTGAGGGGCGCCTCAATCTCAAATATACCTCGGGAAAATCTGTCGGACTCCACTGCAATTCACTTGATGCCCCAGCACTAGCTCCACGTGGAGTTTGCTCTCGCGCTGGCTAGCTACAATCTCACCAACCATTGAACCGTCGATGAGCCATCTCGACTTTCGCGTCGATCACTGCTATTCACGTGGGGGCTGCCCCAGTTCCCCCAGGATGCCGGTATCTCCGCACATGACGCCTTTAAACTTCCTCAGATCACACAGCCATAAGGCTCGTCCTCCCCGATGCAAGCCATTTCTGTTTTACAACCAAGTAGGCGTTTCAAAACTGCTTTCAAAAATGTCAACCGCAACGATGGCACAAACTGGCACCTTCACCGATCTTGAGAGAAATGGCAATAGTGCTCGGATACAGGCTGTCGACGGCTTGAGCATGGATCCTGCAGTTTTCGAGAAGCTACTTCTAAATCCCCAGATCGCGGTAAAATATGATCTTAGGAAAGACATTCGCTATTCCCACTCCATTGTGAGTTTTCTGCCTCAGGTCTCGTCTATCGGTAAAAGGCCGATAGGTTTCAGGGTACTGGTCGGATTCGGTATCGCTCTCAGACCTCTGTTCTGCTATTTGATAGGATGGAGAGGATCGAATCAGCAGAAGATGGGGAGTGCTATTACGTACTGCGCACAGGCATATATATAGCTTCTTCACCGCCATTAGGGCACCATTATTCTTATATATTTATACCAATATATACCACGTTTCCACCCCTACAGCTTGTCCAGGCCGTAACATGGTAGCAATGCCCTAAGATTTCGACCTCCATATCGATATCTTATTGCGAGCTCTTAATTAAGTCCTCGACCCATATATATACCATCCTCCAGAATGGCTCCCAACCCCCAAAAACCCCCAGTCAAAAGGCAGAGCCCTTACCAGGCAAGCCTCTGATGAAGACGAAGACGAAGACAAAGAATAACCCTCTGCTTCTCTTTTAACGCAGACCCCTTAGCGATTTAACCAAAAGGATAGCTTTAATAATACCGAATTATAATAGATTATACAGCTCCTTTAACGAATGAACTTGCGAGAGACCCCGGCTCCTGCTACCTCTCCTGCTCGTCCATTTCCAATATCGAACCCTCTTTTCTCTTACTTGCACGCCGCAGATATTAGTTATTTTAATCCAGAAGATACGGATATAACGGGAAAGAATATAATTTATATAGATATTTTCGCATTTACGGATATGTTTTTGTATTTGGCAAAGACTCAATATAACGATATTCATACGGCCTTCCCTCTTTGCCTTTATAGTACCGCTCTCGTTTAGTACTTAATAGAGCTTATAGCCCTGGAATATCGTCTTCTCTTATCTGCTCCGGTCTCTAAGCTTTATACTTCTCTTATTTTATAATTTAAGAAATATTCTAGTATTATCTTATATATTCTAATCTCCTTTTAATTTACTTTTTATAATATTCGCTCTAGTAAAACTATCCGTATATTTATATAAGAAATACTTTACTTTACTTGTTTTTCTGGTTTTAAGTCTGAGTTTAATACTCTTCTCTTAATATATAATTCCCTTAATACTTCTTTATATAATTATATTAATAAACTAACGGAAATAACTACCCTTAGCTAGTTCTTAACTATAATTAATGCAAAATAGAGCCTCTGGCTAGATATAGCCTATTAAGCCTCTTAGCCAAAACAGAATCTCCTCTTTAATTTTTCTAAATCTCTTACTATAATAAAGTTTTTTTTCTCTTATCCTATAACTACTATTATATATCTTATTTCTCAGATATACTAGTACTAGTTTAAAGAATTATATAAGCCTTTTATTTATATATATAATTAGCCTTTCTAATATATTAATCTTTAGAGTTCTTTATTTTTAACTATTTATATTATTTTATTACTAGTATTAAAAATCTTAAAATTATTATTTTTATTTATTTAGTTTCTTATTTTTTTTCTTCTTTATTTATATATCTAATATTTATATATAATCCGAAATTTATATAATAATTAAATTTCTATTATATTAGTAATTCAGGAAAGATTCAAATTATAATAGCTAATATCTTTAAATTATATAAGTATTTTCTAAATTTTAAAAATATAGTTATTTTTAATTATATTTATATATTTTAGCTTTAATTATATAAGTTTTCCAAAATTAAAATACCGGCTAATTAGCTATTAATTCTATTTATTTATAATTATAAAAACACGTTTCTTTATATTAATCTTATAAATAAAATAGCTTATAAAACTATTTTCTTAATTATATCTTTTTAATTACTAATTCCCTTATTATATTTATTTATAATATATATATAATTATTAGAAAATATAGAGATTTCTTTATATTAGTCTATTCTAAAGAAATTAATATAAAGTTAGCCTATATTAAGGTTATAGCTTCGGGAATTTATAATAAAAAACCTCGTATTTAATAACTCTTTATATAAATAGCTAAATAATCTATATTTTATATATTTTATATAAAAAGCTTTTTTATTAAAGCTTTAGAACCAGTTCTTAGAATTAAGATAATTATTTATATATTATAATCTTTTCAGAAAATTAAATAATTATTATAAAATTAAAACTTACTATTTCTTTTTATAATATTATTAATTTTAATTATTTAAGCTATCGAGATTATCTTACTTTTAATTATAGAACTATATTTATTACTATTATTACTTATTTTCTTTATTATATAGAGTTTTATTTATAATTTAAACTCTATTATAACTAATTTCTCTAGCTTTATTTCTAATATTAAAATAGATATTACTACTTGCTTCTAAAATAATAGTAATTCGGCCTTCTTTATAATATTAGTAAATCTTTTTATTAATAAAACTTAAACTATATATCTTATATAAATAATACTATTTATTATTACTTCTAAAATATTTTACTTTTAAGAACCTAATATTACTAAGTTTCTAGACTAATATAAAAGCTAGTATTAAGACTATTATATTATTAGTTCGGCTATAATTTCCTATCTTTTCTAATATTATTATATAACTATTATATAATATATTTATATAATACCGAAATAGGTTTTAAATAATTAAACTATTTTTAGAATTATTTTATATTAGATATATTAAATAAAGAATATTTATTAAATAATAAAAACCCGAGAGTTTATAAAGGCTTTAAAGAAATAGAGCTATACTAATAGAATTAATTTATAGAAGTTCTATTAATAATATATTTCCTTTTTTTAGTATCTAATAAATAAATAATTATTTAAAAGCTATATTTAAATACTTTAATTCTTTAAAGAAATTCCCTTATTTCTTTATAAAAAAAATTATTTAAAAGTATAATATAAAGCTTAATATATCTTATATAATAAATTTCAAGGCTTTTATTTTAATAGCTATAAAGTATTATAAGTTAGATTAAGCTAATAAAGAAATAACCTATTATTAAAACTATTCTTATTCTTATAATATTTTTATTAATAGTCTCTAAGCTCAAATAATTATAAAAATAGATTTTATTTACTTTATTTCTATTTATATAAAGCCAAAGTATTACTAATTATTTATTAATATATAGTTTATAAATATTAAAGTTCTTATATTAAATATAACTAAATTTATTTAAATTATATAAATATTAGTACTATTTCTTAATAATATTTAGGGCTTTTCTCTAAATAATAATATATTTAACTCGGATATATAAATAATATTTACCGGATTTACTTTTCTAAATATAGCTTAATTTCTTTAATTTTATTTATTTATTTATTAGTAAAAACTATTAATATTTATTAGAACTAATATTAGATATTATTTCTTATATTTCTTTTTTTTCTATTAATATATTTAATACCCGGAAATACTAGTTTATTATATAATAAAAATTATATATTTTAATTAAATAAATTAAATCTATATTAGTTCTATAAATTTAAGAAATATAATATTTTAATTTATTTCCGGAATTAATAGAATATAATAATTCAAGCTATATTCTTAATATATAAATTAGAATATTTATTCTAGTTCAAAAACTAAAATCTTTTTTCTTTTTTTAGTTATAAAAGAATATAATCTATATATAGATTTTAATAATAAAATAAGAAACTTTATCTAAACTAATAATAAAAACAAATAAGTTATAATTAGTATTTCTAAAATAGAAAAAAAAAATAAGCTATATAAAGAATTAAAAGATAATTATAATTAATATTAGATATTAAAGAATTATTAAAAGAAAAAAACCGGTATTATTATAATATAATATTTTAGAAATAAGAAATAGATATTTATTATAGTTATAAATAAGAAAAAAGAAATAATTTAACTAAATAGTTTTATATTAAACTAGCTATAATTTATTTTTATATATTTAATTTCTTTAAAGAATTTTACTATTAAATCTATAGCTTTATTTATAGCTCTTATTTGCTTTATATCTAATTCTTATTCGAAAATCTAATATCTAATAAATAAATTTCGAAATAAAACTAAGCCAGAATTATTATTAAATAAAATCTTTAATTAAAAAAGAGAAATATTATAACTTAAAAGCTTTTATTAAATTCTTTAGCTTTTTTAAAGCTAGTTTTCTAGAGCCCTTAATATAATTTATTAAAACCCGGCTCTAGTATTATTATTACTTTTTATAATCTAGAAGAAAATAAAAAGAATCTATATTATATAATATTTATATTTAAACTTAATATATATTTTAATAAAGCTATTTAAATTAAGGCTATAATTAATACTAGTACTAAAATTAATATTATAATTATAGTTTTATAATTATAGGAAATTCTTATTTAATCTTAATTTTTTATAATAAAAAATATTATTTTTTTAAAAAACTTTATAAAAATATTTAAATTAAAATTAGAGATATATTATTATATATTTAGATCTTTTTTATTAAAAAAGCTAATTATTAACTTATTTTCGAATAATTCTTTATTCTATAAACTAATCTTATTATTAAATATATCTAATTAAAAGCTATTTATATAATTGTTTTTAATACTAGAAAAAATAGATTTTTTATAAGTCAAGTTATAAAAGTATTCGATTTATAAAACTGAATTTAAGAAAATATCTTTTTTTTAAATAATTAAAGAATTCTAAAAAAAATATTAAAATTAAAAAAAAAGAGCTTTTAGGAAATATTTTTATTTCTTTTTTAAAAATTCGAGAAAGAATTATATATATATTTAATTCGGGGCCTTTAGTAAATACCTTTTATAATATTTCTTTATATATAAATATAAACTATAATATTTCTTTATAATTTAATATTTATTCTTTTATATAATAATAAAGTCTTTTTCTAATAATATTAATTAATAGGCTATATAAATCTATTATAAATTTTTTTTTTAGCTAATAAACTCAAATAAAAGTACTAGTTTAGTTTTTAGAGAACTAGATAATTAAAAGAAAATATTAGAAAAAAAAAATATTAATATATTAGAAATTAAATACTTTTTTTTAGTAATTAATTCCGAAATTTCCTTATATTATTTCAGGTTTATATTTAATAGAAAAAAGAAAAAAGGCCTTAAAAATTAGCTCGAAATTATTATATAAAAAGAGAGATTTATTATTTATAATATTAGATAATAAAAAAGAAATTCTAGTTTGGGATTTTAATTATTTAGAGTTATTAAAACCAGAAGTATTTCTATTATTAGAAATTTATATTATTTTATATAAAGCTTAATAAAAACCCAGCTTTTTAATATTAAGAATATAAGTTCTAGTAATTAATAAGCTTATATAGAAATAACTAGATATAGAAATCTTTAAATACTATAATAAACTCTATTAGAATTCTTATTTTCTATAAAAAAAGATTTTTAAATATTA